GATTCTGTGTCTCCCTCGCTCTCTGCCCCTCCCCCACTCACGCTGTCTCTCTCTGAATAAACGTTAAAATGAATAAATGTTAAAATGAATAAACATTAAAAAGGAATAATTTTTTTTCAAAAAAAAATTTAAAGATAATATCTTTAAATTTTTTTTCAAAAAAAAATTTAAAGATAATATCTTTAAAAACATCAGTGATAAAATTGGCAGATGGTTTTAATATGTATTTAAAAAGCAGAATTTAGGATAGGATTCTTTATATTTATCTAAATGTATTTAGCTCAAGTGCAATGCGTATTTTCATTTTATAAAGGTATTTTCACTAAACAGAAAAAGAACAACCTTAAAACAAAGCTACTAGAAGATATTTGAAAACTAAAGATTACTACATTAGATTATTGATAGAAATCTCAACATTATCCGTGGCTCAGAAACAACATATGTGAATTGATTCTACCACTTCTCACCATGTAAGCAAATCTAGAATATAAACATTAAATAAGAAAATTGGGCTTAAAAATAAATACTTCAACTGCAAAAACAGATCATTGCAAATGTCTACAGCAATGGAGGATTCTACTTTAGAATCCATTACACTTAGTACAATCTTCTCTTATTCATTCATTGAACAAATACTCTTATGCACCTGTAATGTGACAGCGTTTGACATGTCAGGGAAACAGAAATGAACAAGGAAGAAAAAGTCCTTGGCCCCTTGGTTCTTTGATTCTAGTGGAAGAGGAGCTAGCCCATAAATAAAGACATAAAAATATATATAATGTCATAGAGTGCTAAGTGCTTTTAAAAACAGGTAAAATGTAATAATTACTGAAGTTATGTGACTGTTACATAAAAATGCATTATACTGTTCTGTTTACTTTTATATATGCTTGAAATTTTGCATAGGCAGTTTAAAGGGATAGCCAGAGAATGAGTCTCTGTGCATATGGCAATTGAACAGAGACCTGAATGAAGTGAAAGGGCAAGATGCAAAAACATCTGGAAAAAGAATCTTTCCAGCAGGAATAACAGGAAGTATAAATAAACAAAGCATTTTGGCTGAATGATATGTTCACACCAGCTAAACTCTTCTCGGGAAATTTCAGCTCAGTTTCTTCATTCAATCTCCTGCTAACTTTATTTATGAATTTTCCTTTATCAGGACTGATATCTGTTTGGATCAATCCCCGTCCTTTGTTCATTAACAAAATTTTTAGCTCTTATCCAATAAAAAGAACTTTTTAGGCTCTGGAAATTATGGCAGTGAACAAGAGACAAATATCCCTGTCC